AATATTTTTTTTTGGGGAAGGGGGGGGGGGGGGGTGTTTGGAATGATAATTCCTTGTTTCTTCATAGATTTATCATTTCCTAGAGGTATAATTTGACACAATTTATAATTTCCATAGTCTAATGTCATCTTTACATCATCTCTAATCATTCCTTTTAAAGAAATTCGTTAGTTATAATTAATTGGCTAATGTTTAAATCCTCTGAAACTAACTTGCTTATTGATTCTTACATACACAATTCTAGTCTAAAACCATTCATAAAGCCAGGGGAGTATTAAAGAGATGTTGGTGTCGAATATTCTCGTGATAAATCGCCAACTCGCTGTACGCCAATCCATTCTAATTATCATATCCATTTAGTTTTTATTGTACAGCGAGGCCTTAAAAAGTGTCCAGCATTTTTATAAACTTATGTCTGCCCATTTCCATTACCGATTCACTTTCTAGACATAACTTACAAACTCTTGACTCAACCAAGATAAATATTTCCCTTTTGTCTCAAGTCATTCTTATCTTTTATGTCAGATTTGAATTGACTGTGCAATATAATAAAAAACGATATTTGTTATGCGGGATCTTCAAAGACCAATGTCAAGTTGACACACCAAATAAGGAGAATAGCATAAGATCAAAAAAGGTTCCTTTCTACCAGCTGGTCATTGGACAAACCTATTGGCATTGATCTTTCCTGGGTTATCCGTACCATTTTAAGCTGGCTGGACTAGAACAATGTGAGTGAAAATGACTTTTTCAGGGTAATGAGATTTTCATACCCCGACCAAGATTAGAACCCACGACCACAAGCAAGCAAATGACACTATGTAAAGAATCAACGCTCTAACTGGCCGTGGTGCAGAACGCCACATTGATGGACTCTTTAAAAGGGATACGGAGTTGACAAAGCTTATCAAAAAATAGTACCATGTGTCGTGGATGTACCCCCAGACCTTTCATTAGGCTAAGGACACGTTGTGGTACAGCTCAAGGCTTTATCAGAGGAAAGATGTTTTTTAAACGAGGAAGAAATATACATGTTTTAAGTCTTTTATTTACTCTTATTATCCAGTTTCCTTTGAAACAATCTGTCTCGAGGCATTTACAAACTTCTGTTGACAAGTTGCCGCAGAACAATAAAAATTATTCTATAAAAATAAAAACGAATAAATAAGAGAAAATAAAACACAAAGACTGTAGACAATGGCTCTTTTTTTTACCGTCAGGTCTTTATCCGGTGAATATCAGACAACAAATGTCATAATGAATTCTTTTACATCTTGAATAATCACATTTGGATTTGTTTAGGGGAATACAGTCATAGGAGTACGGGCCAAAGGTCTGTTGGAGAGTAGGGGGTGTTGGGAGGGGGGGAGGGGAGGCAGGGTTTTTTGCCGAAAATTTTGAATAGTTGAGATGTTCGTCGAAGCAATACCTCGAGCACCGAAGCCGAGAGCCTTCGAAAACACTACTTGTCTGTCCGAGGTGTGTTGGTGGCTGCTCGTGAAGATAATTTATTACACGTGGAATTGAGAAATGGATACTGAAAACGCAGATAATATTTTGCCAAAAGCTGGTGTGTGCAGCAAGCATTAGATATGTGTTTATTGAGAAAAGGGGGAAGGGATGCTTGTTACCCGATTAGAAGTAAAATGAAACTATTGTGAGACAGTTTACTATAGACAATAATGTACACAATATAATATAATTGTATTGTATAGTCACTGAAAATATAATATATCTTTGGTTGATTAATAATTATACACCTATATTTTGATTGGTTAGTTCAACACATAATTTATATTGCAACTAACATAATTAGACATGTTACACATTGCAAATAACATAATTCGACATGTTACACATTGCAAATAACATAATTCGACATGTTACACATTGCAAATAACATCATTAGACATGTTACACATTGCAAATAACATAAATTAGACATGTTACACATTGCAATTAACATAATTAGACATGTTACACATTGCAAATAACATAATTAGACATGTTACACATTGCAATTAACATAATTAGACATGTTACACATTGCAATAAACATAATTAGACATGTTACACATTGCAATTAATTATATTCAGAACACATAACGTCACACATTGCAAATAACATAATCAGACATGTTACACATTGCAATTAACATAATTAGACATGTGACACATTGCAAATAACATAATTAGACATGTTACACGTTGCAAATAACATAATTAGACATGTTACACATTGCAATTAACATAATTAGAAATGTTACACATTGCAATAAACATAATTAGACATGTTACACATTGCAATTAACATAATTAGACATGTTACACGTTGCAAATAACATAATTAGACATGTTACACATTGCAATTAACATAATTAGACATGTTACACATTGCAATTAACATAATCAGACATATTACACATTGCAAATTAAGAAAAATATATATGAAAAAAAAAACACAGTTAAATAAGATAGAATTTCTATCATTACGATCTGTCATTTAAAGAATACAAGAAAAAAAAATTTAAATGCATAGATTTGAAACAATATGTACTCAGATACAAATTTTGAACCTATTATTTGCTATATTTACATATTATAAATCGATGTAATAGAACTATAGTGTTTATAAGTGGTAGTTATGACTAAAAACTGTTTTTTTTATAATTATAGAGTTAGATGCTTTTAATATACTTGTTTACACTCATTTTGAACTCTCTAACTTTGATAGATTTACAAATAGTGCATTCATTGATTGACAACAAAGGGCCTTCTCTGTAGATATTACCTTTCTAGTGTGAGATTTTGCCTTTTTCTTGTACAGTAAATTTCAAGAAAAAATTCAGTTATAGCCATATAGTTCTATGACAAGGAATTATCATATATTACTACACACACAAACTTCCAATTTAAATATGGAATATTTCTACACTGTTAAATATCTATCACAATTATTAGCATCATAACTTATGAGAATATTATTTACAAATTAATAGTTATATCTCATCAATTCAACTGTCTATACAAACTATCAATATCCATACAACACTGGCAACTAGTTAACATTGAAATTGTACAGTGTGATAGAGTGGCAAATCAGCGTGTAGATGGGAGACTGAATACAATACAAATACATGTAGCTGATGGGAGAGTGAATACAACACAAATACAAATACATGTAGCTGATGGGAGAGTGAATACAATACAAATACATGTAGCTGATGGGAGAGTGAATACAATACAAATACATGTAGCTGATGGGAGAGTGAATACAATACAAATACATGTAGCTGATGGGAGAGTGAATACAATACAAATACATGTAGCTGATGGGAGACTGAATACAATACAAACACATGTAGCTGATGTGATAGAGTGAATACAATACAAATACATGTAGCTGATGGGAGAGAGTGAATACAATACAAATACATGTAGCTGATGGGAGACTGAATACAATACAAATACATGTAGCTGATGGGAGACTGAATACAATATAAATACATGTAGCTGATGGGAGACTGAATACAATATAAATACATGTAGCTGATGGGAGACTGAATACAATACAAATACATGTAGCTGATGGGAGACTGAATACAATACAAATACATGTAGCTGATGGGAGACTGAATACAATACAAATACATGTAGCTGATGGGAGACTGAATACAATACACAATACATGTAGCTGAGAAATTAATACTGGTATATCACAGTTAAACCTATATAAGTGACAGAATGGTTGTGGCTTGTTTGTGAAACCTTCCTGATAGGGTATGTACAATATAGAAAATTGATATCGATTGAACATTATTAATCCAAATGACATGTAAATCTAGATATATTGTTTCATGTTCTTTATGTCCAACACAGAAAAAATAAAACACAAATGAACCATCTAAATGTGGATTTGTACCAAGTTGACTGTAAGTATTATTCAATCCTATAACAATGTAGAAACCAATGATCATAATTTCTGACATTCTCCATGTAATTTAATAGAGAGATTATAACCTAGATCAGTTTTAAATGATAAAACTCCATCATAAACACCTGGTACATCTGTTTTAAACTCTATAGGATACTTCAAAAACCGGAATTTACTGAAAAAATAAAATGACATTAAATGCAGCTTTGTGGCATACTTTTCTTTAACTTATTAGGTTTATAAAGACAGAAAACACAAAAAGAGAAAGATAATAAAGGTAATAATTAGGTTACCAGGTGAACCACTGACAATCAAAGTTTATAGAAAAATTGTTATTCTTGAGTGAAAAACTCACTTCTAGAATCACATCTTTTTTAAGCTTAAGATATCCATAAGATAAGAAACAAAAGAGACACGGCAGATCGAAAAGCTGAATGACCTATGCTACAGCACGGATTAAAAATAATACTTACCCAATATTAAATCTATGATGTTTGATATGAAATGGTGGTTCTGGGGCAATAGCTTTTAACTGAAATAAATAAAACAAAAATTTTGATATTTGTAATCATGTGGACTTAGTATCTTTGAATTCAAGACATAATCCACCATTTTTTCTCTTTTTGTAAACAGTAGTTGAATAAAGCACCAAGACTTGTGATGTTATAACAAAGCCAATTATTCAGTTAATAAATCCATCACAACACTTTCAAGGTTATACTAATAAAAACTACCAGTACTTACTGAATGAGGTCTATCAGATTCATTTTGAAATTCTATTTTAATGGCCATAGATTTCCCGGGTTCCAAAGTTTTAAAATTAACAATATCTTCTTTTATAGACACTGGTCGTGATTTCTTGTCTGGTTTTTCACTGTAAGGTAATAATAACAAGGTAGAGAAGCCAACAAAAGAAAATAAATACATGTATATGTGAAAGCATCTAGGATTCTCAGAATCAGGCATGCAAATGATCTTGGCAATCAAAAGATCACTCATTCTACACCATCAGACTTACAAGTTATTGAGAGATCAGATCAAACCATTTGTTTGAGGAAGTAAATGATATTTGAATGCCACAGCTACAGTGTAATTATTGCAGATTATAGTTTACCTATTGTCAGTAGAAACAGAAACTTCATCTGAGTTTTCTTCTTCCTCTATTCTTCCAGCCTGAAAGTATAGTACCATACATGTCAAACCTGGATATTTGATATCAAACAAAAATCACCCCTTATTTTATTAATGAGCTCTCCCAATCATACACATACAGTTCCATAGTGATCAAAAGTATGCATGTGTGGAAGAGTTCAATAGAAAGATAAGGGGTGTCTAAAAGTTAATGTTCATACTATATCACACCTTCATTTCATTATCCAAAAGCCACACAGATAAGCCGGTTGGAAAACCCAATTTCATCAAATCTATCAAAGTTACTTTAACAAACAGAAGTGAGAAACAAGATCGAATAATCTGATGAACCTACCTCTCCTACCAGACTGATTTTAACTGTCATACTATTCTCAGTAACCGAGGGATGTAGAAAACATTGTAAATCCCAACATTGAGTGAACGTTCCCTCGGACCTCGGTACAAACATTAGTGGTATCTAAAAATAGTAAGCATAGCTTTATATTATATTACATAGTATCATTATGTTACTTAACAAAATATCTTCTGATGATGTACAATGGAAAGGCTCCGTGTGCTACAGGCTGTGCCCGTTAAAGATCCCTCGACAGTTGGAAATCGAAAAAGAGCAGGCTAATGCCACTGTCCTGGAAAAATTTCCCTCATCGCACCCTTTTTTAATGGATATTGTGTTGGTTATTCTTGAAACTTCTCTATATTATATTATACTATATTATAGTTCTCTTGTCTTGAATTTACCGTCTTCATTAGCCCACATGGTGCAGAAAAGTAGGACGTAAAACTCCATTCATTTCATTTCAATGTTGATTATTGATTGAAATTAAAGGACTGGATATTACCAATAATGCAATGAAATACATATCATTACATCAACTCAAAAACTACCATAACTGTCATAATATGGGCTAATAGTTAAATAGTCATACTTTATCTTCAAAGATGATATGATTTATTACAGTCACCTCTAAAAGACACAATGAAAACACACATATCATTGAAGTCTACAAACCTTAGCTGTTTGATTGGGAGTTATCTGACCTGATTTCTCTTTCACCACAAATACTGAATAGGTGACTCTATAGATATCACTAGATTTATCAACTCCCTATAAAACAGAGCAAAGTTATTGTTTAATCTTAATATACATATTCAATTATATTTCCTTCAGTGAATACAAGATTTGTTAATCACTATTCTTAATCTTAATCAATCAATGATCGAAGACTTAGCAGGTTTAGAAATCTAATTAACTCTCTTACTCCATATTATAATACCTCAAAAAGGTAATAGAGTTAAAAGACCAAAATTTTAAAGAGTTAAATAAACTTTACCTTGGCGTAAGCCGGAGCGAATGAATTAATGGTCCAACTTAATGTTTCAGAAGAAGTGTTCGTAAACTCTAAAACCTTCCCTGTAAATATAAACAAATAAATAAACACATAAAAACAACTAACAATGAAAATGCCATGTAACATATTACATGTTACATATCATGACCGTGTCACTTTATTTTGAGGTAGAAAAAAAAAGAAACTGTAAACTATAAACCAGGGACTTAATTGTTGAAAACTTAACTAATATATTTATAATATATCCATGGTGATAGGAATACAATAATCTGATTGGTTAATAAAACATAACTTAAAATCAATTTCAGAGATTGACCAATCAGATGACTGGAACACTAATATCATCTTCAGTTAAGCATCTCCTGATTGTAAATATGTTTATAATTGAACCTTGATATAAATAAATATGTTGCTCAACTCTAGGAGTATCTATAGATCTATCATACTAAAAGACTTACCACTGTGGTCATCAACTGGTGTTTTAGGAAATATAAAATGTGTTGTAGGTATATCTATATGTTTAATATCAGTATTCTTATTAAATGAATCAGACAGCTGAGTGGACAGTACACTTGGACTTTCAACTGTCGGGATGTTGGGGTCATAGGTCGGATCATTTCTTAGTTGAACTTTCACCTCCTGGAATACAAGATCAAGGTCATAGAAGTGACATAACTCAACAGATACCAGGGCATCTGAGAACAATCGTCTTGCTAGCTCTGGAATGGTCAGTTCTGCTCAGAAGTCAACAAGAAGTTCAATTAAAACCAAGTAGAAACACGGTTTAGAATGTGCCCCATGTGCTCCAAAATAATACAGGTGTAGACAAGTTTGTCCAGTTTGGCTGATATGGAACAGATGGAGCCTATTCAATCACCGATCAAGCCCCACCCTTTAATCATTTGATCAAATATAGCCATCTACAGACAACTGATCTGTTTTAGCCTGAGTTCCTACTAAAGTTTGACAAGCAAGTTACCTCAAATTGGTCGTTACAGCAAACAACGACAGCTCCACTCCAGGGTAATTTAGTGATGTTTATATTAGGTAGAGGTGTAATGGTCACTAGACGATTCGATCTGGAATATCAAGAACATTATCAGAAAGAAATGTTAAAATACCTGGTATATTCTAAATACTTTCCCTTTATAAAGTCCTCTAGACAAGGGAAATAACTACAATATCTTACAATAATAACTGTACTTACTTGGCTTTGACCACACCATATTCAGGGTTGACTGAAAACCAATGACCAGGCCATGACAACTCAAATCTACAACAGAAAGATAAGGTAAAGATTAACAGCTGGAGCTTTATGCTCGAAATCTAAACTTTAATTTAAATCCAAATTTTGTAGATTGTATTCATACCAAAATCTTGTAAACTGAATGCAGAATGGGATATATGTCTGGCTTATGGTTAGGCTTGAAGTATTTTTGTTTCTTTTACAAACTGACTGATGATTGCAATGAAACAGTTCTCTACTTACTTGATATCTTTAACAGAGAAATTAACAATTTGAAAATGACCAGTTTGACATTTCTTTCCTGAAATAATCAATATACATTTATAAGTAATTGTCTAAAAACTCTGAGCTCCACCATTATAATAACCTTGCGAGATATATAAGTATGGTAGGACATTCTTAATCTGCAAGATGATGCCACTTGTTGAAGGCATTTGTCAATTAAGTGTCCTTTTCGTTAATGCAACAAAACTTTACTTCTTATTTGGGTTTGTCATATTTGCCAACATTGTTTTGTGCTATTCATTGACTCCAAAATTAAAATTGTGTGACACATACCTTCTCTATAGACATTACAGATTAACTGTGGTGGCAGTACTGACCAATCAGATTCCTTCTCACCAGGGTGATAACTCGTATATCCTAGTCGATTACTCATATCAGATCTGTAATTACAAAGGAAAAGAAATTGAGTTTAACGTCCTACTCTTCTGCAACTGTTGAGGACAGTGAAATTAAAATTTAACATTAACATTGGTTCAGATGAATCCTTAGTTTGTCACTTACCTTCTGACCTACCAAAATAATTGGTAATCATATTTTTCTGGACTCTCTGGGACTGAGAACTTACCTAGTAATATTAGTAACAGGAAGGGTACCACCCAGAGGACGAGATTTCACATGAACTTGAGGGGTAGTTGACTCTTGTTTACTGGCGGGGTGACCAATCAATGCCAAGGACACGTTGGCCAGGTTAGAATA